TGTGTATATATATATATATATATATATATATATATATATATATATACTATATTATAAAGTATTTGACAAAAACTCTTAAAATCGATTTTTTATATATGAAGTATGGTTTATTGATGCATATTACTTAAAATTTAAGATTACAAGTAAATTGTGCATAAGTACAACTTAATAAAGCTCCATACTTGAATTCGTCTAACTAACTGCAGATAAACATAATCAAATATTGGATTAATATCTCATTTTAAATATGAAAAATCTAAAATATAATTAGGATAATCATCGATAACTAACATAATACTTAGTTATTATCTTTATAAAAAATTATATTATTAAACCTAAATTAAATTTCTTTGTTACTAAACCTAAATTAAATTATAATTAAAAAAATTTAATTAAGGAAAATACACCAAAACACAAGAACTTTTAAAAAGATTGATTTAATATTGATATCGATATTTTTTTAAAATTTTTTATGATATTTTAAATTTATATTTTATTCAAAAATAAAAACATTATCACTTTCTTAAAACCACATAAAACCAATGTTTACTTAGAATTCAAAATTATAAGTAAATTATGCAAAAATACAACTTATTAAAGCTCGATGTTTAAATTCATATAACTAATTGTGGATAAACATAATCAAATTGAGGATAAACATAATCAAATTGAGGATAAACATATTATTTTAAAATACAAAAAATCTAAAATATAATTAGGATAATTATCGAGTTCTAACAAAATAAATAATTATCATCTTTATAAGAAAATTATATTATTAAACCAAATATAAATTACTTCGTTATTGTATCCAAATTAAATTATAATAAAAAAATAAAATAAAAAAATTACACAAAAAATGAAGAAGTTTAAATAGTTAATTTGATACGAATATCGATATATTTTTGTTATGCATAAAGTACTGTATATTGATACATATTACTTAAAATTCAAGATTACAAGTAAATTATGCATAAGTATAATTTATTAAAACTTGATGTTTGAATTCGTATAACTAACTGCGGATAAACATAATCAAATAGAGAATAAACATCTCATTTTAAAATATAAAAAATCTAAAATATAATTAG